AGGCAGAGGTGGGAGGATGACCTGAGCCTGGGGAAGTCGAGGCTGCAGTTAGCCGTTATAGTGCCACTGCACTCCAGCCTGGACAACAGAGTGAGATCATGTCTCAAAAAGAAAAAAAAAAAAGCAGCATGTTCTATGTGAGGGCTCCTCTCATTGGTATTTATGTGGAGCAGGTGAGCTCCTTGGCTCTGCATTTTGCTGGCTGCTTATTACTCGACGTGGTCTTACTGACGTCCACACCACCCCCTTTTCCAACCTGCAGCCTCCCTCAGGGCTGGGTACCTGCCCAGTTTTCATGTCCTCGTCTGTTTGGGGAGATCCCTGTTTAAATTCCTTTTTGGGATTCTTGAATCCCCCAAACAATGAATACTCCTTTTTTCCTGGAAAACAGTGGGATTCATAAATCACGACCATTGCCCATTGTTCTGAAATAGGTTCTTAGTAAGAACTGGGTACCCTCTATTTTGGAAGATAAATTATATTTACTGCAACAAAAGAGCATGATTTATCTGTAAAATTCCCTGCCACGTGTGCTACCTGTTTGTAGTTTTCATGTTTCTGTGAAATAATAAGCGAATTGGCCCTTGACCCTCCTTCATAGGCTTTATAGAGTTGTGATTGGCTATTACCCACTGTCCATCATTTGTGCCTAGGAGAGGTTATCCAAGGATGAGTCCCCCCCATGCCTCATCCTTGATGGAATCTCTCTGGTCGGCCCACCAAGCTTGGTGGTGAGATGTCGGCAAACCCCTACAGATCTGCCCCTAGGTACAAGCAAGCCAGAGCCCCCACCCTATATCTTCACTGTTCTGAGGGCAATTCAGCGCTAACTGTAGCTGAAGACTCCAGCAAAAGATGAAGGGGCCAGAACACCCCCTGATGGGCTGTGTCTCTAGGTGTTCTAAAAGCTTGATTTCTTTACTCATTAAAGGTGTTTAAAGTTGGCCTGGACCAGAGAAGGTTGTTACCCCTGATTCTGGTGAGAGTCAGAACTCCCCCTCCCCCAGCACTTAGTGCAAGGTCTGATGCTGGGATGTGGATAATATTGAATGGACATGATCTTGAACCTCTCTGAAATTTTCTCAAACTCTGCCCCATGCTCCCCTAACAGGGTGAGAACATTTACTGTGCCCTCCCTACTTTCCCCTTCCCACACACGCACTCCCTCCCACGCACATACTCACACTCACACGTAGTCTCACACTCCTGCATCCACCCTCACACACATACTCAATGTGCACTCACACACCTCAGTATCAGGCTGAGCTGCCAGGGGGCATTACTGCTGGGGACTGATATCAATTCTCCATCAGGCCCAGGCCAGGGTGGGGAATGTCTGTGGGATGCCCTCCAGATCTGGCAGCCTCTGGCCTGGACCCCAGATGGGCAGCTCTATCATATAACTGATGGTGTTTCTGTAACAGTTGATGGTCAAACTGGGCTGGGAATCAGCCAGTGGGGCATTCAGTCCCGGCCAGGTCACTCATGAGCTATGTGTCTTTGCACAAATTCTTTTGCATTTCTAGGCCTTGATTTCCTCATCCATAAAATGGGGTTCATTGCTGGATGCTTGTGTGGATTTATTGAGCCATCTTATAAAACACTGAGTGGAGTGCTTGGCTCAGAGTAAGAGTTCAGTAAAGAATATTCCTAGAAATAATAAGGCAGAGACTTCAGCTCATGAGGAAACCTTTTAGATTTGCACTTGGCAGTTTGTATTAACAGAAGACGGGCCTGTGGTGCATGCAAGTCTGGGTCACAAGCTTGTGAAGTTGGACTGGCATTGGACCTGGCAGGGCAGGGCTCAGGGCATGTGTTCTGTTGAGCTCATAGCTGGGCACCACTCAGCTGCACCTTCCTAACTGAGCCCTGCCCTGGTTCCACAATCTCATACTGCCTCTAACAGCCCTGTTCTTGGTTTTGCAGCCAGAGCCGAAGCCTGGAGACCTGATTGAGATATTTCGCCCTTTCTACAGACACTGGGCCATCTACGTTGGCGATGGATATGTTGTCCACCTGGCCCCTCCAAGTAAGGGCACACAGGACCTCCACTGTGCTGGGCCCCAGGGGCTGGGAAGAGAGGGACTGGGGAACTGTGGGTAACAGGTAACCCCGACATTCTTCTTGCTTCTCTACTGCAGTTGTCTCTGAGTGCTACAAGAATCTTGATGAGGGGCAGTTTGGTATGGGGCCGTGCGTTCAAGGTCTGCTCCTTGGAACCTCCAGGGGTCCTTCTTCTTCTTTTTTTTTTTGAGACAGAGCCTTGCTCTGTAGCTCCAGCCATCTGCTAGAGTGCAGTGGTGCGATCTGGGCTCACTGCAACCTCTGCTTCCCAGGGTCAAGTGATTCTCCTGTCTCAGCCCTCTGAGTAGCTGGGATCACAGGTGCATGCTGCCACACCTGGCTATTTTTTGTATTTTAGTAGAGACAGGGTTTCACTGCGCCTATGTTGGTCTTGAAATTCTGAGCTCAGGCAATCTGCCTGCCTTGCACTCCCAAAGTGCTGGGATTATAGGCATGAGCCACTGCACCCGGCCTGGAACCCCAGGGGTTCTTTAGAGTAGGGGTCCCCAGCATCCAGGCCATGGACTGGTACTGGTTAGGAACTGGGCTGCACAGCAGAAGGTGAGTGGTGGGCAAGTGCGTGAAACTTCATCTGTATTTACAGCCGCTCCCCATTGCTCTCATTACCACTTGAGCTCCACCTGCTGTGAGATCATCAGCAGCATTAGATTCTCATAGGAGCACAAACCCTACTGTGAACTGCACACACCAGGGATCTAGGTTGCACACTCCTTATATTAGTCTGTTTTTACATTGCTATAAAGAACTACTTGAGACTGGGTAATTTATAAAGAAAAGAGGTTTCATTGACTCACAGTTCTGCATGGCTAGGGAGGCATCAGGAAACTTACCATCATGGCGGAAGGTGAAGGGATAGCAAGGCAGGTCCTATATGGTGGCAGGAGGTGGGGGAGTGCCACACTTTTAAACCATCAGATCTTGTGAGAACTCACGCATTATCACAAGAACAACATGGGGGAAATCTGCTCCCGTGATTCAGTCACTTCCCACAAAAGTCCCTCTCCGACATGTGGGAATTAAAGTTTGACATGAGATTTGGGTGGGGATACAGAGCCAAACCATATCACTCCTTATGAGGATCTAATGCCTGATGATCTGTCACTGTCACCCATCACCCCAGATGGGATTGTCTAGTTGCAGGAACAGGGCTCCTAATGATTCTGCATTATGGTAAGTTGTATGATTATTTTATTATATATTACGATGTGATAGTAATAGAAATAAAATTCACAATGAATGTAATGTGCTTGAATCATCCTGAGACCATCCCTCCCCGCTGCCCAGTCCATGGAAAAATTGTCTTCCATGACACCAGTCCCTGGTGCTATAAAGGTTGGGGACTGCTGCTTTAGAGGGATTGAGGGGGCATCTGAAGGAGGAGCTCTGCTTTGATGTGTTTTTTATGCTGTGACTTTGTATGCAACACACTCAACTCTTTTTTTTTTTTTTTTT